TCTGATTTAAAGCAGCAGAGCACACATACCCACAGACAGGAAACCCGAGGCTGGCACCGTCCCCCACCCGCACCCCGTCACACCCATCACCAGGGCTAAGTCCGTGTGCCCAGCACTCTCCACCTCCAGACCTTCCCAGTAGCTCTCAGTCATTTTCTCCTCCAGCCTGAATCCTCCTCCTGTCCCCCCATATCCCCTGGTGAGAAAAGTGGACAGAGGGAGGAAGAGGACGGGAAACACAGGCAAAGTGATTTTCTCTAAGCTCTTCAACCTGCCCGCCCCAGCACAAATGCCTCAACCTTTGAGAGAGAAAAGGCGATCTTAAACCCATCACAGAAACCTCCAGGAGGTGCAAGCCACCCAGGAGCTGTGTGCATGGCCTTCCACACGGAAGGGCTGGAGCGGACCCTGCAAAGCAACTACACACACAGTCTCAGGGGAGGAGCTGAAGCTCATTTAACTCAAATGAGGTGTGAGGGTTGTTTGTGGCCCATTCGCCAGTTTAAAGCCCCAACAGCAGCTGGTGTGTCAGTGTGGGAACACCCCCACGAGACTGCTTCAAACCCTTCATAATAACGTTCATCAGCAGGGTCAGGGCCTGGAAGGTTTCTTTTGATTTTTCTACTTAACTGAGAGTTCATGGAGGAAATTGTCTTTCTTATCCAGGGACGAGGATTTTGGTAGTTACAACTTTCAGTGCACGCCTGACCTACTGAATGTTTCTGTTAATACATAGGCAGGAGACTTGGAGATAAGCTGATCAAACGTTATATGACACTAGGGGCCCAGTGCACAAAGATCCGTGCACTGGGGGTGGGTCCCTCAGCCTGACCTGCACCCTCTCCAATCCAGGAGTTTCTGTCTGTCTTTGCAATCATATGAGCGAATTGTCTGAGACCCCAACCCAGTTTGGTTTGTTGCTCACACAATAATAGAGGCATTTATTTTTTCTGTGCGTCATTGGTGGAGATTTCCTGGAAGTTTTAGGATATCTTCCCTTTAATTTTTTCTAGACACTCTGATTTTACTTATGTCTCTCACCTTTGCTTTCCCTCCATCCCCCACCACAACAGTAACTTGCTCCAGGCTCACTTTGCTCTAGTGTAGGAGATCCGTCTGCCACCAGAGCTACTATTCCCAGAATTCCTGGTGCTCCCTGCTCTCTAAGTTTCCCCTTCCTGTTTTGTCTCCATCCCATGACCTCCCACTCTGCCACGTCCCCCCAAGCCTCTGGCTCTCCTGCTCTGCTCTCTGCCTGGTGCCTGTGTATGCAAATCAACCTTCCATCTTTGTCAGGTTAATTTGCATACTCACTCCTGATTGGCTGGTGAGCGTAGTGAAGGGACAGTCAATTTACATGTTTCTCTTTTATTATATAGAATGGGTTGGGGAGGATTGAGAATGTGTTTCTTATATGGCAGAACTTCATTCAAAAATAAATCAACAGGCTAAACTTCAGCAGATTTCTCTTATGAGAAGACTAAAGTCCTGCAAATAGTTTTTTTGTTTGTTTGTTTTTGTTTAATATTTATTTTTTTGTTGTTGTCACCCAAGGATATTTTTCCATTGATTTTTAGAGAGAATAGAAGAGAGAGAAAAAGACAGAGAGAAACACATTGATTGGTTGTCTCCCATAGGAGCCCCGACTAGGGCCCAGGCAGGGGAGGAGCCTGAACCCAGGATCCTTCTCTTCGCAGGCTGACGCTCTATCCACTGAACCAAACCGGTTAGGGCCAAACAGTTTTTTTTAAGTTGACCATATAAATATAGAATGTACAAACTTGGCTTAATAGCACATGATGCCTAAAACCTGGAGTTTTGTAACAACTTTGAGAGAAGAAAACCCTAAGATCGTGGACAATGTCTCTAGGTCTCAGACCATGTCAAGCTCTTGACAGGGAGGTGCTGGGTAGAGCTGGACAGATGGACAGGGCCGTCTGTGCTTTTATTGCCCCCAACGCTTCCGGCCACGCTAAGCAGCAGTGTCCTCCTGCAGACAGTTGTGCTATACAACAGCCCCACCTAGAGGATGCTGGGAAGAGTGCAGCAGTGGGGTCCAAGCCAGGCAGGTGCGTGTCCTCGCAGCTTTGCTCATCTTGTCAGGAGCGCAGTCACTCCCCATGCGGCAAAGCAGCGGGGCTCTGCGCCCCCTCTCAGCCCACGCGTGCGCTCCTGGTGGAGGTTGGCCAACCCATCCCGGCACACCCAGGCGGCTGGTTTCATGCTGGAAACCCCACGTTCCGGGGAGCCCCTGGGTCCTCGCTTGCCATCCTGTGTCCCAAGGACCCGCTGGCTTCCCGGGGACGAGAAGTTGTGGGGGAAGAGGCCAGCAGCTGCCAGGCTGCAAACAGCTTTTATTGAGATTTTCGTCTTAATAACGAAAGTGTTTTGATGCCGTTGTAATAACCTGGCTATTGTTTAACAGGGAAGGGAACAAGGGAAAACTGGAAATAGGCAGACCATTTCTACAGCTTTGCCAAACGCTGCATTTAACACTCTCCACGTCTGTCCCCCACTGGCTGATGGGGGAGGAAACCAGACAAGGGCAATTTAGACGCATGCCCAGTAAAGGTCGGAGTGACCTGGGAAGGTGCCTACCTGTCTGACAGTCATACCTGAGAACAAATTAATGGCCTGGATGGGCGTGGCCACTGCAAGCCCACGAAACATAAATATTTAAACTTCCAGACTCTCTTGGCTCCAGGGCACTGTCTTCTGTGACTCCTGTGGCAGGGGGATCGCTCCCTGCACCCACGTGACACACGACCATGGTGGACCCCACACACGGACGAATAGGCTGTAATTAGCTTGGATGCCAAACCGCATCCGGCTGCAACAGGGAACCGAAGCTCTGGTCACTGGCCCTCCTCCCGGCTCTGCTGAGCCCCAGCGGCCCCGTGCAGGACCGGCCTGGGGGAAGTGGGACAGTGGGCCTGAGGAATGTAAGTCCCTCCAGTGGGGCCTTCTTCCACCTCCCATCCTCTCGTGGGGGCCCCTGAAGATGCTTATGTCGGTGGTACCCCCCGGACCTCCACCTCGCTCCCGCAAGCGACAGGGGAGTTTGATTCTCTGGTAACATTTTCACTCTCCTCAGCTACCACCTCCCACCCTTACCCCTCCCCGGAGGTGCCCACCGAGGGCACTAGGGAGTCAGCAGTCCTGCCAGCGCCTGGCTTCAGCCCGGTAGGCGGAGGTGTTTGGAGCTGAGGTGAGGCCATGCAGACTCACAAGGCCCCTCAAGGGAGACCCTTCAAATAGGCCAGGCCTTAGGGAGAGTGAGAATGTGCACCACCCCCTAAAGGCGCTGCATGGACTCTTCTGTGCAGGTGGGACTGAAGCTCCTCTTCGATGTCATGGGACCCGCCAGAAACCCAGCGTGGCGCTGTTTCCCTCTATAATGAGCTGGGTGACGAAGATGCTCCAAAGCTTCTCTAGAACCTCAGAGACTGTCATTTTTTAAAACTGACAAGCAATCAAGTGTTGCTCCTCCCAGTCAGCAATGGGCCGGACTATGGAGAAAACACCAGAAAGCTCACGGCTCCCGCTGCAGGGCTGACACCCACGGGCCTGCATGCAGCTGCTGCACTGCGTTTCAGCATCACACGGGCTCCCAGGCCGATGAGGCCCACGCACCCCCAGCCCAGCCCGTGCTTACGTCATCCTCAGGGGGGACCCCATTCATCTGAGCCGGGGAAGTGGACAGGGAATGAAGGCTGCAGGCTCTCGCTGCCCTGGGCCCCTGGCCTCTCCTGCCTGCTCCAGGCTGGGGGAGGGGCAGAACGGGTGAGACCACAGATAGGTTTCCATAGAGCCGTTAGCATTTGCCAGCCCTTTGGTGCGTGGCCCCTGCTGTAGGGTCTGGCGCAGAGTAGGAACTGTGCCCAGCCCGCAGGGGCAACAGGAGGCTACGGTAGCCTCAGCTTCTAGCAGAACGAGAAAGGGCCACTTCTTACAACTTACAACGTACCACCTTGCCGAGATGCCAATATGTCAGTACCTCAGTGGCCTCTGATGGCAGGGCAGAGGGCCTGGGGAAGGAAAGAGTCCTGTCTGTGTGTGTGCCGACCAGACAGCTTTGCAAAAGGCAGTGTGTGGGTACCTCGTGCCTCATCACCCACACTCAAGGGACCCGGAGCTCTGGCCCCGCAGCCTGAGTGCGGTCAGGTGGCTTTCCAGGTCACCGTGTGGGAGGAGTGGCATTATTTCCAAAATGGAATGGCACGTGTTAAAGGGCCCTTTTCTGCAGAAAGAACCAAGGACGCAAGAGGGCCATGTTGGCACGCCCAGACCAAGGCTTGGCATGGGCGGGTCTGTATGGGCTCAGCTGGTGGAACAGTGGTGGGAGCAGCTGACCACTGCCGGGCCCCAAGCAGAACCCTGGGCTCCCTCAGTGGCCACTCGGTCAGGGTAGTGGGCAGTGTGACATCAGTGCTGGGAGAGCCACTCACCACCGCGTCTGGACACCTCCCTCCTGGGTTATCATCACATCCGGTGGTGGGTAGGAGAGGAAGGGAGAACCAATGAAACAGTGATTTTGCCATGGGCTATAGCAATGAGCTTGGCAGAGACGGAGGTTGGGATTTGTATCTGTAATGAGGTTCCTAGAGTATTTATCACTTTATTTTTCTATTCTAGGAGAGTCTTTTCAAACGACTCCGTGTCCATTGTCTGGAGCCCTTGTTTGAAATGCACATTCCTGGATTCCAGCCCCGTGACTCTGACCCATAGGTGTGGCGTGTGCCCGGGAATCTGTATCCTCGCAGGTGCTCCAGGTGACCCAGGTGCAGGGAGCCACGGACCAGTGCTAGGCCACACCGTCGCCGTGTGTCAGCAGGCACTGAGACCTGGCCGTCCAGCGTGACCCAGGCTCCCACACGGACAGGCTACCCTGTCCCGGCCGCTTGTCTCTAAGCTCTGCCCCTCACCACTGTCCTTTAGCAAACACACTTCACACCAGTTCAGCTCAACCAAGCTTTATTGGGCACCTACGGTAGGCAAGGCACAGATCCAGGAGCTGTGGGGCACAAAGCCAAGGCTAGGCCTCGCCCCCAAGGGGCTCACAGTCTCTGGGAGAGGCACACTCACAGAGAAGAAAGCACAGGCAGAATGAGGGAGCTCACGCCAGAGGCAAAGCAGGGGCGAGTCGGGGCAGGGCACAGTGGAGTGTGCCTGGGCAGGGCATTGGCTACAGCAATGCCCCGGGCAGGGCAGGGCAGGGCTGGTGCAGGGCATGGCACTTGAGCGAGGCGGAGAGAGGGGTAGGATGCACAACGGGACTAGACAGAGGACAGCTCGGGTCAGAGGCACAGCGGTGGGAAAGTCCACTGAACATAGAGCACCGGGGCAGTGTCTCCCTCGACTGACACACGGGTGCTGCCAGGTAGCAGGGAGCTCAGCTGCAGAAGCAGCGAGGCCGGGCTGTAGAGGATCCCCTGGTGGTTACGTGTGACTCTGCTCTGCAGGCACTGGTGAGCCATCGAAGGTGACTGAGCAAGGTAGTGCGTGATCTGACCTCGATGCCAGGCTCCTGCTGGATTGTGTGATTGGCTCTATCTTTGCTACCTTCACGCTGAGTTACAGCCTCTCTTGCTCTCAGAGTAGAAGGCTTGTGGCCACACACCCTTGAGGGCTGCACAAAGCCACAAAACGGTGGCCTCGGGCAGGCAAACTTGGAGCTCACTTAACAGAAGTTAGTGTCATATGCTTCTTCACCTAGAAGAAGTATCGCCGTCTACAATCACTTGGGAGTAGGGGCAAGGCACGGGAGGGTATTGGATGAACCGCTGTTGCCCGAGCACAGAGAAATCCTCTGCAGAGAAAATGAGATCGCAAACAGGAAGTGGTAGAAAGACCCAGTACGTCATCAGCCTCACCCTCGCTGAACAACCTGCCAGTCGGCTTCTGGAGGCGCCCACCCCCCGCAGCCCCACTCACTGGGATCGGGGGTTCTAGGTGCTGGACACACGGAAGGTTCTCTGTGGACCCCTGCCCTCGGACCCTGCCTAGCTGTCCAGCGAGGAGGGAGAATGGCGCCCACCCCCACCCGAGCCACCCCAGCCCGCAAACGGATGCGAGGCCACCGCTGTCCAGGTGGACACGGCGATGCTGGTCAGCGAGGGCTCCCCCAGAACCTCCACCGCCGCCGAAGTGGGCGCCTGGGTGGAGAGGGGCGAAGTCACGGCGGGGTTGCCCAGGAGAAATGCGCCCGGAGACCCGGCATGCACGTCGGGGCCCGGCCCGGCACCCCCGCCTCCGTTGCTGATGGTCCACAGGCACGGGTAGGGGCTGCAGAGACAGAACGAGAGACAGGATGCGTCATGGCATTCCCAGAAACCATTGCCCGACAAGCACATACGATACTGAGAGGCCGTGGGGCTGGAAGGGGCACCTGGCCGTGGCTTTACTGCGGCTCTGACACACTGGCCCTGTTCTGCAGAGAAGCCAAGGGGAGCAGTGAGGGGAGCGGGGGAGGACAGGATTAGGTGTGCTGAGACCTGAAGTTTGAGGCTGGCCCTGCCACCAACAAGCTGTTCACTTTCCAACACAGCAATTTCCGTCTCTGGGCCTCCCTGGCCCAGCCTGTGCGAAGGGCAGGAAGCCAGAGGTCTCCCTGGCCAGGAGGGGCGATGTGGTGCAGTAACCAGGACACGCTGGGGTCAGAAAGCCTGGCACCGAAGGCCACCTCGACCACTCTTAGCTCATGACCTTGGCCAAATTATGTAATATCTCTGAGCCCCGTCTTCGAGATTGGGGATAATTATGCAGACTTTCCGATGTTGGAGGATTCCGTGACGCCTGGCGCATGGCTCCCAGTAGACGGCAGCTGTTACAATGAGTCTTCCCCCTGGGGCCCCTGGGCCAGCTCTGCCCTGGCACAGAGGCGGACCGGCCCTTCCTGATCCTCTTATTGACAGCGCCTTTTCTCTCACTTGGCTGCACTGAGTCACCCAGCGAGGTCTGTAAACACTGCCGCTGCCTCCCTCCCTACCCCCACAGCCGCCCCCTCACCTACTCACCAAGACCCTGGTGTGCCTAGTCTGCCTATGCCTGGGGGTCAGGACTTCCCAAAGCATTCCAGCTGATTGTCACCTTAACTTACAACCAGATGGAAGTGGCAGCGGGGGGGAGGG